AATGACATCTGGTTGTCTTTGTGTCAGCATAGACAAGATGGGCGAATGGCCCCATTCTGTGCTGTATCATTTCTATAGTTCTGTGGACTCTAATACAGTTGGAAGGAAAATATTAAATGGCACATATATTATGGTAATAGCTGTATATAAACTTAGGGGAAGTCTCTCATTTATTACCCTATTTCCTTAATGCTCTCTTCCCCAATAACATTAAAGTACGGGCTGCTCAAAAAAGGATACCTCCCATCTTCTGTCCTCAGTAAACCAGAAGTCATTAGAAATTCTTGCCAGTATCCTAGCACAAACTAACTAACATAAAAAAGACTGTCCACAACAATAACACACAGCTGGTGGTCTAAACCAGCAGAGAGTGCCTTGGTGGGAGGGTGTCCCACCCTTAAGAAAGACTATTACACAGGAACGTGAGGAGGATATTCAGCCCATTGAATTTGCCAGCCAATCTAATTGGTTGGTGCCAGAACTCAGTAGTGGTTGCCTCTGAAAATGCAATCAGGCCCTGAGAGGAAAACAATGAATCACAGATTAAAACAAATTCAGGGGTCGAGAAACAGTGTGTGGGTGATTTCTGGGGTTGGGTTGGAGTGGGGTGGAATGGGTTTTTGCAGTCGATTAGGGAAGCAGTGGCACAGTGGTAATGTCATTAAATCAGTAACCCTGCGCCACGATCTAAAGTTCTGGGAACATGGGTTCAACTCCCACCAGGGCAGATGCTGAAATTTGAATTCAATAAAAATCTGTGGCCAAAACTAGCAACCGTGTAACCAATGTGGATTATTATTAAAAACTCCCCTGGCTCACTAATGTCTTTTAGAGAAGAAAATCTGCCATCCTTGCCCAGTTCAGGCCTACTTGTGACTCCATAGAAATGTGGTTGACTTTTTCTGCTCTCTGGGTAATTAGCCCAATTAAGGATATGTAACCAACACTGCCTCAGCCAGAAAATCCAAATCGTGTGAAAGAATAAAATAAAGTTGCCTTTTTCATCTTGCACTGGGGAGTGCCCTTGATGCTTATGGTGCACATCACTTCGCCTCAGATAGTGTAAAAATGGATTCCCTACTCTCACCTATATGCTCACTTCAACTGCATTTTGATGTGTAGATAGTGTAATAGTCAAGTCAAATGGGTTGTTAACGAACTTAATTGCTCCTAAATTAATTTTTCCAAATGTAAAAAGGCTGCTGATTGTGGCTGTTGCCTCCCTGTATTATAGGGACTGGGTTGGCGATAGGCGGACAGAACGTGGACTATCCGTATATGATACTTTATGAGTCACCCTCCACTAAAAACACCGCCACTCTACACGTGTTTACAATTCAGAGCAGAGAAATCAGGACGTTTTCATTGTGGTTGAGAAGATATAGGGATGACCTGATGGAGGTCTTCAAGATTGTGTGCAATCATGATAAACACAAATAGTGGCAGATTATTTTTTCCAGTCAGAGAAATGTTAATGAATGGGCACCAATTTAAGATAATCACAAAAAGGATAATAGATTGTAGCTGTATTCCTATGACATTAAGCAAGACTCATGTACTAATTATTTGAGATTCGATCGTCAGCATTGACCTAAAACCAAATGTTTTCCTCAAAGGTTTAATAAAAGGTGGCTGTCAAGAGAACTTCATCATGTTCTAGTGAATTAGAAAACTAAAGGCTTATTTAGTTCCTTCACATTACATTCAAACACTGTTTAATAATAGTCAGGCAACAATATAATTTTTAAATTGTTAACTAACTCATAGTGACCTACCTGAGTAATAGCAGTTAGAATTGTTTGAAGAATCATTGTTAAATATCTATATTAATAAAACAGCATTTTAATATGGCCTTGAGCTCTAACAGAGCCTGTTCAAATTGAAGATGTGGCTTGAAATCTAACTTTTAATAAATATATTGCTCTACAGTCATTAACATAGAATATTGGATGTGAAAATGTATGTTGCAGATAATCCATTTTACAGAATCATGGAATTGGTACAGTGTGGAAGCAGGCTGTTCAGCCCTTCAAGCCCATACCCACCCTCTGAAGGGCATCCCACCCAGACCCACTTCCATCCCTGCATTTCCTGTTATTAATTCACATAGCCTGCACACTATGGGGCAATTTAGCATAACCAATCCACCTAAGCTGTACATCTTTGGACTGTGGAAGGAAACAAGAGTACCCAGAGGAAACCCACACAGATGTGGGGAGAATGTACAAACTCCACACAGTTAGTTGCCCAAGGGTGGAATTGAACCTGAATCCCTGGCACAGCAAGACAGCAGTGCTCACCATTGAGTCACCATGCCATTATTTCAAGAATGCATTTCTCTTCTGTCTCAAAGAACAGCTCACAGTTAATTGGACATGCACATAGTGCAACATGTACGTGAAAGAATAACTGTAAATTTATTGTCTATCCCTGGCATTCTTGAATCATTTGTTTATTGTAGGTAGACCCACATCAAGTTAATGAGGGAGTTCTGGGATTTTAAGCCAGTGGCATTGAAGGAACGGTGATATATTTCCAAGTTAGGATGGTGAGTGGCTTGGAGGGTAACTTGCAGGTGGTGGTGTTCCCATGTATATCCTGCCCTTGAAGAGGATAGTGGTTGTTCATTTGGCAGATGCTGTCTAACATGCCTTGGTAAGTTTCTGCAGTTTGTCTTGTAGTTGGTACACATTGCTGTTACCGAATGTTGTCAGGCCCCATAACCTTTGCAGTATTCAATGCCTTTAGTTATTTCTTAATGTGGAAGGAGTGTATCGAACAGCTGAGTAATGGGATTTGTGATTTTGGGGATCTCTGGAGGAACCAAGACACATCATCTACTCTGCACTTCTGGCTGAAGATTGTTGCAAATGCCTCAGCCTTAATCTTGGTCAAAATGGCATTACACCACTTCTCTGAGGGGGAGGACATACAGAAAACTATCCCCACCAAAGAAAACCACCTTCTTCAGGTCTTCAGCTCCCTGTGGAACAACAGGTCTCTGAAGAAGAATCACGCTGAACTTGAAACATTATCTCTGTTCCTCTCCCCAGATGACGCCAGACCTGCAGAGATTCTTCAAAACCAATATCTATTTCAAGCCCACTGACTCCCACAGCTACTTAGACTACACCTCCTCTCACCCACCTTCCTGCAAGAATGTGATCCCTTACTCCCAATTCTTCCGCCTCCACCACGTCTGCTCCCAAGATGGGGCATTCCACTCCCAAACATCCCAGATGTCCTCTTGTTTCAAGGACTGCAACATCCCCCCCATCAGTGGTCAAAAATGCTCTCGACTGCATCTCTTGCATTATATGCACCTCTGCCCTCACATCCCCTCTCTGCAACAAAAACAAAGACAAAATCTCCCTTGTCCTCATGTATCACCCCACTAACCTCTGGATTCAACGTATCATTCTCCGCCACCTGCGATCTGACCCCACAACCAAGGATATATTTACTTCCCCACCTCTATCTGCCTTCCATAGAGACCGCTCTCTCCCCGACTTCCTCGTCTGCTCCACGCTCCCCACTAGCCCCACCACCTCTGGCACTTTTCCCTGCAACCGCAGGAAGTGCTACACCTGCCCTTACACCTCCCCCCTCACCTCCATCCAAGGAACCAAAAAAACCTTCCATATCAGACAGAAGTTCACCTGTACACCCTCCAATGTGGTCTACTGCATCCGCTGCTCCCGATGTGACCTCCTCTACATCGGTGAGACCAAACGGAAGCTCGGAGACCACTTTGTAGAGCACGTGCGCTCTTCCAGTTGTGAACCATTTCAGCTCCCCCTCCCGCTCCCTGGGTGACATGTCCATCCTGGGCCTCCTCCAGTGTCACAATGATGCCACCCGGAAACTGGAGGAGCAGCACCTCATATTCCGCCATGGGAGCCTACAGTCCAGTGGCCTAAATGTGGACTTTGCCAGTTTCAAGATCTCCCCACTCCGACCTCATCCCATGACCAACCCTCCCTCTCATCCCCGCCTCCTTGACCTGACACAACCTGTCCATCTTCTCTCCATCTATCCACCACTCCTAGCTCACTGCCCAATCCCCACCACTCCCTACCTGCACTCACCTATCACCATCCCACCTACCTTCCCCAGCCCCACCCCTCCTCTCTCTATTTATTTCAGAGCTCCATTCCCCTCCCCCATTCTGAAGAAGAGTCCCAACGTGAAATGTCAACTTTTGTGCTCTTACATGCTGCCTGGCTTGCTGTGTTCCTTCAGCTCCACACTATGTTATCTTCTTCAGTGCTTTCTGGTTTTATCTCTTTGAGCACATAATTGTTTCATTCTGGTATTGATAACCTTAACCCCACTGACGGTTAGGGCCTCAGATAGCAGAGGTTCCACTGAGGTTTATAGAAAGCATAAAAGGTAGATGATTAGGAACCCTCCCAAGCTTAACAATTTAATGTAGGGATAAGATCTACTGACCCCCATTTTAAGAGACGAGCCAATAAAATTGGACAGAATCCTGCTCCATCCCTAAAATCCAGACAGCCTCTCCTAAATAAAAATCAGACTTTTCACCCTCAGCAAAGCAGGAATTTTGGGACCCACCTGTTCTCTTATGAAATCAGATGAAAGGAGGTTGGATATGTTGTTCATTAAACTGAGATAGCTAGAGGTATTCACTCTCCAGCTATGAGCAACATCAGACTTAAAGGCATTCAGCTGATGTGAACTCATATTCTGACCTCTGCCTGGGACAATGAAAAGTTATGATTTGAAGGTAGGTAGATTGACTGTGTGGTTTCCCAATTTGCACTTTTGAGAAAAGAGGATGATATCCACAAGTATGTTGATACTGTAACAGATGAAAATAGTGTCCAGTTGACTCATATTGTCAATTGTGGCTCAGTGGTTCCATTACATATACCGTTGTCTCTCTGCAACCTTTTTCCTGCTACTTCCCAAAGCACCATTGATTTTCTCATCCGGAGGAGCAGTGACAGCCTCCCCTTTAAATATGTGTTGCTAGACTATTGCCGTGAGGAACGTGGTCGCATCTTTAGTTTTGTGGGACAAAGCAGTTTCATAAAAGCTCTTTTAAAATTTTTGTGACATAAAGGATATAGAATTGGATTAATAGCAGAGTTAATCCACAGAAACCAGAATGAAGCTTCATACCAATCATATGCCATGTAGTGCCCTTGACATCCTGCCCTGACAACCAAGAGCAAGGTATATGGTGCCCAACAGATGCCAAAAACGCAAACAATAACAGCAAGTGATTTTGCAGTTCTTTTGTCCCTCAACAATCTAAAATGTTGCACAACATTCTGAGAAATTAGCTTAATTTTTCTTTTTGAAAATAGCTGTGATTGTGAAATTTCTTCTTTCATTAAACATTTTACTTCACTGGATGGAATTGTTCTTCCCAGATCATTCCTGCGTTTCAAATGATCAAGTGTTTCTGACCTCTCCACCTTGATTTTTATCTCACTGGACATTGTTGTCAAATCACAAACCGTGGACTTGATCAGTTTAGTTTTTTGATCAGATTTACAAATTTTTAAGGAGCATGCCAAATTGGACCCTGCTTCCAAGTGCTCAAGTGATGATTTACTTTTGGTATTCCAAAAGCTATTTGACTGTGACCTTGTTCGTTGCTGAAGGTTGAGGTATATGCTTAGGTTGAAATACATGACACTGATGAAAGGTACAAAGAACTCCACTGTTGATGCTGTTATCAGAAAGTACCAGTTATTATAAAACTCAGCATAACACTCTCCCACAAGCACAATGTTCCTGCCAATTACCTACTCCCAGGCAGTTATTGCTGGGCCATATAAAAGGAAAGCAGTGAGCCGCACCAGCATGATCTTAATAGCTGCATTTCTCCTCTTCCATTGCTGGGCTTGGTATGAAAACTAGATAGAATTTAGACAATAAATAAGTTTTATTTAACCTAACATAAAAGGTGTCTAAGTTGATGATATGGTTACAGATGAACTATAAACATTTCCAAATACATTTCCTAAACTGTGTCAAAACCAGACTTCATCTACATCCAGCACTCAGTTGGAATGTCTCTAAAGTTACTATTAATATTAATTAAGCACAGTTCATGTAGAGGTTCAGGGATGTAATATTTCAAGTGGTTACTAACACCAAAATGTCAGGATTCTCTGTGGGTTGTGGGAGACAGGGAGAGGTTCACTGCAACATCTTGTCAAAACAGAAATGGGCCCACAATATTGGAGTCTCTCAAGGAATTAATTCCTTGCAAAAGTTATAGATTCCATTATTTTAGCTTTTGTAATGTAGTCGACTTAATGTGACTAGTGGTGTGCTCAGAGGTCAGTGCTGGGCTCGTTGCTGTTTGCTATCTGTATCAATGATTTGGATGAGAATGTACAAGGCATGATTAGTACGTTTGCAGATAACTCTAAAATAGGTGGTATCATGGACAGTGAGGAAGCTTATCAGAAATTGCGGAAATTGCGGAGTGTAGTGGAACAGAGGGTCCTTGGAGTTTAAGTGCACAGTTCTCTGAAAGTGGAGTCACAGGTAGACAGGATGGTGCAGAAGGTGTTTGGCACACTGGCCTTCATCAGTCAGGGCATTGAGTACAGAAGTTAGGAAGTTATTTTGCAGTTGTACGGGACGCTGGTGAGGCCGTTCTTGGAGTATTGTGTTCAGTTTTGATCACCTTGCTATAGGAAGGATGTTATTAAACTGGAAAGAGTGCAGAAGAAATTTATAAGGATGTTGCCAGGACTCACCGCACTGAGTTATAGGGAGAGGTTGGACAAGCTAAGACTTCCTTCTTTAGAGCATAGGAGACTGAGGAGGGATCTTATAGAAGTGTATAAGATCATGAGAGGCATGGATAGGGTGAATGCACTCAATCTTTTTCCCAGAGTTGGGGAATTGAGGACTAGAGGGCATCAGTTTAAGGTAAGAGGAGAAAGAAGACATGGGAACCTGAGGGGCAACTTTTTTTACACAGAGGATGGTACGCATATGAAATGAGTTATCAGCAGAAGTGGTTGAGGTGGGTACATTAGTAACATTTAAAAGGCATGTAGATGAATACATGGATAGGAAAGCTTTAGAAGGATAAGGGCCAAGTGCGGGGAAATGGGGTTAGCGTAAATGGACATTTTGGTCGGCATGGACTAGTTTGGGCCAAAGGAACTGTCTCTGTGCTGTAGGACTCTACGACTCTATGACTGTATGACTCCATTAGTGAAATTTGTCTGTTAATATTTAATTTCATGTCTTCACCCCAACCCCCACTCTCATGGCCTTTAGTGACACTGGAAGTTAGAGGTGTCCCTTACATCCAGCATTCCTACGATTTATTTCCATTTGCTTGTGATCATAAAATTGTCACCAATATTTGTTAGAAAGTGTCAGGGAGACTCACAGGGAAGTTCCACACCCAATTTTCCTACTGCCACTTGTCCAGAAATGTACGATTTTAAACTAGACATTCGAATTAGTGACATTTACAGAGATAAGATGTTTCAGTGCATTAAGAATCTTAACTACATTTGTGTTTCTTCCAGATATTTGTTCCAACTTAATTTGTGCTGCCTTCATCTATTTTGCCATTTCACGATCATATTACATCAAAGTGAAGTATCAGGGTGCTAAAATTTCTAATATTGCTTAATGGCAGCAATCACATAGATATATGGCTGTTGAAACGGTCAGAAAATTGATAGATAAGTTAAAAATTTCACTTTATTTGCCTTTTCTATGCTAATCCCTGTTTTTTTTTCATAAAGAGAGGGAGGATGAAATTAGTAATCATAGGATAAAATGGGGTGGCATGGTGGCTCAGTGGTTAGCGCTGCTGCCTCACAGTGCTAGGGACCTGGGTTCAATTCCAGCCCTAGGTAACTGTCTGTGTGGAGTTTGCATGTTGTCCCCATGTCTGCGTGGTTTCCTCTGGGTGCTCTGGTTTCCTCCCGCAGTCCAAAGATGTGTGGGGTTGGTGATTGGCCATGCTATAGTGCCCAGGGATTTTTGGGTTAGACATGGGGAAATCAGGGGTAGGATAATGGGTCTGGGTGGGATGCTCTTCAGAGGGGCTGTATGGACTTGTTGGGCCAAATGGCCTGTTTCCACACTGTAGGGATTCTATTCTATGATTCTAATGTCTGATGCCATTTTCCAGTAGCACCAGTAAAAGGTAAGAATATGAGACACAATAATTGCTTTGGGCCTGTTTGTTGCCAATCGCTTCAATGAAAAGGTAAGAAGAGATGGAAAGCTAAAAATCTAAACACCACAAAATTGGCCCCTTTGTTTCACATTAGGCTTGTTTTTGGATTTTCTAGAACACTTTTATTCTCCCAGTAAAATTAGCAAGATTGACCAAGATTTGAAAGAATTTTCAGTGTTTAAGTTATTTGCCCCACATGTGGTTGTCTGGCTGTAAACCTGAGTTTTAAGAACAAAATAACATGAATTTAAATTGCGGATCTTTTATCAAAACATCAAATTACAGTTTACCAAACTAAATGATGGAAATCCCAAATAAAAGTAAATTTATTGTGGGCAAATAAAATAAACAAAATTCCATCCAACTCACTCCGTACACACTCCCCCCTCACCTTTTGATGGCTTGCATTGCCCATAATGGGCTTTGCTTGTAAATATTAAATTTGATACATGGGTGTTTTTACTGATGGTGGTTGCTAGTTTAAAAAAGAATTTTTAAAAAAGTCTCAGTGATTTTAGTGGTAGGAAGGCACTCAGTTGTGTGTGATAACACTTCAGATAGGGATAAGAATAAAATAATCAAAGTATAACAATTATATTATGATGCTTTCTAGAAGTAGAAAGCAGTTGTAAAGAAGTTCAATTTATGTGCATGCATCAGTATTATAAAAGTTGTAAACCTATTTATTCAATTCTAAAATGTTCAACCACAATATATTTGAGAGCCAACGTGATTATGAGTGGAGATACTTCAAAATATTTAATCTGTATCAGTTGAGAAATGCATGGAATTTCAGGATTGCTTAGCTGAGTTTGGAAAGCACTTTATGTGGGTGACTGTTTAGAATACATTTCTGCATAATTTATTTCGAAATAACTCATGGAAATTCATTGTCATGGAGTCATAGAGTCATACAGCACAGAAGAAGTCTTTTGGCCCTACATATCTGCACAAATCCAACATTCCAGCACTTAGCTATTGTCTTGAATGTTATTACATTCCAAGTGCTCATCCACATACGTGAAGGTTCTCTGAATTCAGGTTCTCCTGAATTTACCTGCTAAATCCAAGTCAATGGTGCTCCAAAGCATGTGCATTGTAAACAAAAACAGAAGGGATTATTTTGGTTCTCTGTATTGCTAAGTACTCTAATTAAAATAAAGATTTTCTTAATAGTAAGTCTGATGCCACTATGGAAATAAAAAAATGTCACCATGATTTTGTTGGTGGGAAGGCGCTCAGTTGTATGTGATAACACTTTTGGGTAGTAACAAAAATAAAATAAATGAAATATAACAATGGCAGGGCAGAGCTATCTTGGATAAGCCTTTGAGTACGTCAAGCTAGGCAAGATGTCATTGACCAAAGATTGGTACAAATCAATGAACTGGTAACAAAAGATTGAATAATTTAGAGCTTTGGTTTGTCAGTAATTTAGTTAAATGATATATCTATAAAAGTCTTTACCAAAGTTTTACTGTATTCTGGAAAGAAAATTATAAACAACGAGGTTGGAATTTACTGACAGATTTTGTTGAAAAAGATTCTGTAATTGTGCTATTGGATTCTACATGGATTATGATGTGGAGGTGCCAGTTTTGGACAGCGGTGGATAAGGTCAGAAGTCACATGACATAGGGTTATAGTCCAACAGGTTTATTTGAAAACACATGATTTCAGAGCGCTGCCCCTTTATCAGATAAAGTCATTTCACTTCTGTTCACATCTTCACATCTCAGAGAGAGATGTCACGTGGCACCATTTGTAGGTTGAGAAAAGAATATTGCATTTGGACGTACAGTCTGAGAGGCATTTTGCCTGGAGCAGTTGCCCCTCTTTTCTCTTTCTCTGATACTGCTCTAATCAAAATTTGTGAATTCAAAACCCACTTGGCCCTATCATCACCAATGGAGTGGTCCTACAGGAAAGGTCATCTTTGCCGCAGTACTAGAGTTCTTAAAGGAAAATCTGAAATCTACCACAACTGACTCTGGATAAAATGAATTCAGTCATCCATAACTGATCCAGAAATAAATCTCAGAGGATGTCTGCTGACACCCAAAAAGCTCTCAAGTGCACTCCGAGTGATATCATTCCTTCCTGTTTGCTCAGACTTCTTGTGCTTTTTAGGCAACGCATTTCACAAAATGTGCATATATGCAGAACATTTTACATATGTAGTGTAACCTTTCAGGGGTGTAATGAAACACAGTCTAAATCTCAGCTACAAACAATCAGATAATGTGTGAATAATCATTTTTCTGAATGTAACTGCCGCATAAATTTTTAAGATTACACTCAGCAGAGGACTTTTTCCCTTGACCTGTAGATTATGTGCATGTTATTTCTCAAGAAGTGTAGTTGTATGTATTTACACAGTTTAAGTCTTTTGTTAATAATATTTATATCTTTGCTTTGATAAGTTTTATTTGCAATAAAACTAGTTCTATATTTTGTTACTTAAGGAACCTGCTTGACATGTTTCTGATACTGAGCTATATACAGTCTGATACTTAATTGACAATATCATGTCACTTCTAAAATTCAAACCTTGTTATGACCAGTGGAGGAGTGGGACACGGAAAGGAATCAATTCACTCCTCTAAACTCAATCTTAACAATAGGATACAACATTAGGATAGGGAAATTGAAACTTCCCAATTCTCCAGATTGCATTTCATTTGATCTAGGGGGAACCACTTCTAATATTGAGTGTGAGATGTCGGGATATAGTCAATTAGTTGACTCTGATATCCTGATATAAATTGATGGGCTGGAAGTTCACCGGAAACAAACATGTACCTGAGAGTCTCTATAAACTTTAAAGAAAAGCTATCTGAGAGGAAAATATAACTTGCTTAATTTAATTGTTAAACAGAATTATTAGACCTGTACTTTTAGAATAACTCTTGATAAGAAATCAGTTGTATGTTTCATTGCCTATTTAAACAATGAATGACCAAATCAAACAGAAAAATGTTAACCTAAACAAAACAAAAGCTGAAGACTTTGTTGTGAAGATTGTAAGTGGTAAAAAGTGAAGTTCTTAGCACATTTTTGATATAGTGAGAAATAGAACACAATGTTATTTGCTTTTCAACATATCTTGTCAGTTATATGATCCATTTTTCTTTGCTTTGTGTTGCATTGAAGTAAGATGAACAGTAAAATGGTGATGTTTTGAGTTAATTTTTTTTCTTGTGCTGTGAGATTGGATTGAGCTAGCATTCCAAGTTGTGCAAATTAGTGCACAATAATAAAATCAAGACAATGTGGTGCTTAGAATTTCAAATGTGGACAATCAGCGAAGGTAGTTTAGGGCGCACATCCCCACATTCTAGTTTATATTCTTGCCTTTACACTCACTGTTTCTCCTCCCAGGTCAGTCACACAGGTTTAACCACACAGGATAATGCTTAATCTCAAGCTGACTTTCAAACTCTACAGCTTCTCACTTCTGTAAATAATATTTAGGTAGAATATTCTAGGGTATCTTGTATGAAGTTTCATCTGAGTAAAATGGACATCCCAACAGTCACCTACATACTGGTAATTAATAAGAACTGAAGTGCCAGAGAAGGGCAGTTCAATATATCTTCTATACCCTTTCGAGTTCAAACCATGGTCATTGGAAGTGGAAAGATAGTGGATCAAATGGTGAGGAAAGAATTCAAAAATTGATTGGGGTTTTTAAAGAAGAAGAGGTAAAGATGTTTGGTGTAGTGAGGTAGTTGCAGGAAGACAAATAATTGATTTGAATTTAAACCAGTAAAAGATTTAATGACAGCATTGTGTTGGAGTGGGAGACATGAGTGATGTGAGAGTTACCAAGCTATGTCCCACATTCCCACAACACCCAAACTTAAACTCTGTGAACAATCATTGCTTCCTTTCTATGCTACCTTATGTCATGCCACCTGTCATCTCCGGGAGGATAACATGCAGGGAGATCATAAGATTGTCCCTAATTTGGGCCCTAGCCAGCATAGGGAAGCCATCCCAATAAAAGGTCTCCCTCTATTTTCCCAGCTCTAGCACCACCCTATCCACCCCATTCCACTGCCTCCAAGCTGATACAGCACTGTGAAGATTAAACCCCAAAGGATCAACAGAACAATCGCACCTGGTGAAATATTACATGCAAATAGCTGTTCAATTTTGGGATATATGATGCCCACCAGGTTTGGGGCAGGTTGCTGGAGCTGTAATGTTCAGATTACACAGGTCAAAGGAGTAACTTTGTGGTTGCGTGTAGATTTGGACTCACCGGCCTAGCCACACAGTCGAATCTGACATAACTTATCAGGACCGTGTTAAAGACTGAAGACGTACAGAGGAGGTAATTCATAACCAGTCAGAATTTGCAAAGAGTCTTGCCCAACATCCATCGGCTGGCCAGGGCTTGGGAACATACAAGGGGATGCAAAACGCTCCTGGGATGGAATATAAACCATGATTAATAAATAGACAGTTACAATAGTATCAGAACACGATTAATTCAACACAGTTAAAGGTAAAGAAAGTTAGTTTGAACCAGGAAAAAGGATGTATGGAAAGGTATTAGATTACATTCAGAATTGAAACTCATATTGTAAGATTATTTGTCACAGTAATAATATACCATAACCCTCAGCAACACACTTACAGTTGAATGTGACAAGTCCATTTGTGACAAGCACAATATTGAAGACAGTTCTGAAGCTGGGTCACTGGACTCTGAATGTTACCTGTTGCTCTCTCTCCACAGATGCTGCCAAACTTGCTGAGTTTCTCCAGCACTTTCCGTTTTGAGTGAAGACAATTCAGTTGATTGTGCGTATAAGTAACTTACATGACTTCATGGTATAGTTTTTTTTTGCTGAGCAGATGGTACCTTCGTAATGTTTACCACCGGCTTACAGACTTACAGCTAATTCGACGTTTGAGAACAAACAATAAGCAAGCATAGAAAGTATAGCCCGAGATGGAAATCAAGACAAAAGAACCGCGGATGCTGTAAATCAGGAACAAAAACAGAAGTTGCTGGAGCAGCTCAGTATCTGTGAAGAGAAAATCGGAGTTAATGTTTCGGGTCCAGTGACCCTTCCTCAGAACAAATGCAGGTGAGAGAAAAGACAATAAGGAACACTGAGACACCTGGAGAGTTGACAGTGTAAAAGCTGAATGCATTTCTGTCTGAGCCACTGTTGACCTACCCACTAAGAAGTAGAGGAAGAAATTATTTTGGCTCCGCAGACTCTTATCCACCACAAAAGCCGGGATCACTGAAGCAAGCACGGTGATGATCACCAGGAGCACCATCAAAGTGATCAGGAGTCCGGCGGAGGTGGCCGAGAATTGGTGGAAAGGGAGGCAGCCAGTGCTCTGGGCGAGATTGGGAAGCGAGCGCTGGGAGCTGTTCACTTCAGCACCGAGAGAGGCACACAGCAGCGGCGCCGTCCAGGCGATCGCCCGCAGGGTCCCCAGCTTGGCCATAGTACAGTGAGCGCTCAGCACTAGCAGCCGCAGCTAATCTCTGGCACTGTCTGTCAATCCTGAAACTGCAGGGGGTCTGAACTCCCTCAGCTCTAGCTCAGGACTGCCGGAGGACACAGACTCCCCGTCAGTCTTTCACTCAAAAGCCAACAATCACCATGACAGGATTTACAAACCAATTTAAATATAAACAGCAAAGGCAGAAAATAATCTTAAAATCCATTAAGAAACCTGAGAATACTTGAAGGCGCTTGAGGAGCTGAATCCAGATGGGATCTGTACGCGAGATTGGCTTGTTATATCATTGCTGATTTTTTTTTCAGTTATATTATGTGACAATGAATCCAGATTAAGGAAAAGAGGGGTATTTTGTGAAATGAGGTGGATTTTTTAAGGAAGATATTTTGATAATTGAATGCCGCAAACTCCAGAAGTACACCTTACAGCAGTACTTACCATTTTCCCCAAAGTGAACCTGCACTTCAAGGCTTCATGTTGTCAACTGTTGCGACCCTTCAGAGGAGAGAATGATGAGGGAGGAAGAGAAGGCCTATTACAGCAGGGGAAAGCAGATGTCAGCTATTGCTGACTCAGAGCTCATAACTCCAAAAAATCAGCTCATGATCCCACTTGGTGTCCCAACCCCACTTTGGGAAGCCCTGCCTACTGCAAACACACAGTTCACCCATGATAGTAGGGATGGTGCTCACAGCCATAAGAACATAAGTAAAAGGAGCAAGAGTAGACCATTTGGCCCCTGAAGACTGCTTTATCATTCAGTGTGATCATGACTGAGCTCTGGGGTCAGCTCCAATTTCCTGCCATACAGTCATTGAGTTATTCAGCACAAAAACTGACCCTTTAGCCTAACAAGAGTCTTACAAGCAAGGCTGATGAACCCAGGGAGTGTGTCGGATCATGGGACTGGGACGTCATATCTATTACAGAAACTTGATCAGGAGGGACAGAACCAGCAGCTCAAAGTTCCAGGTTTTAGATGCCATAGGAAGGATCGAGAGGGAGGCAGAAGAGGAGGCGGAGAGGTGTTTTTGATTAAGGAAAATATTAAGGGTTATGGTGAGAGGGTGGGTGAGTGGAATTGAGGCTATGAAAAGATCAGCCATGATCTTATTGAATGGCGGAGCAAGCTTGAGGGGCCAGATGACATAGTCCTGCTCCTGGTTCTTATGTTCTTACTGTTGTAACTAGAGAAGATATTTCTGAGGGATCATCCTGTGAAAATATATGGGTTGAAATTAGAAATAAGAAAGGGGTGATCACCTTGATGGGATTGAACTATAGCCCCCTAATAGTCAGAAGGAGATTAAGGAGTAAATATGTAGAAAAATCTCAGATATACTTAAGAATAATAGGGTTGTAATGGTAGGGAATTTTAATTTTCCAAACATTGACTGAGACTGCCATAGTGTTAAAGGTTTGGATGGTGAGGAATTTGTTAATGTGTTCAAGAAAATTTTCTTTATCAACATGTAAATGTTTCTACTTGAGAAGGAGCAAAACTTGACCGACTATTAGGAAATAAGGCAGGACTAGTGACTGAAGTAATATTAGGGGAACACTTTGGAACTAATGATCATAAATCTATTAGTTTTAAAATTGTTATAGAAAAGGATAAGCCTTCCATCAAAGTTAGAGCTCTTAATTGGAGTAAGGCAAATTTTAATGGTATGAGACAAGGAATTTCAAAAGTTGATTAAAGTAGACTGTTCCCAGGTAAAGAAATGACTGACAATGGGAGGCTTTCAAAAGTGTGACAATGAGAGCTCAGAGGCATTATATTCCTCTTTATGTGAAAGGTAAGACTGGTAAGATTAGGGAGCAATGGATGAATAAAGATATTGAGGTTCTAGTCAAAAATAAAAAAAGAATCATGTATTAGATATAGACAACTTGGATCAAATGAATATCTTGAAGAGTACAAAGAGTGTAGGGGCATTCTTAAGAGGGAAATCAGGAAGGCAAGGAAGGGATATAAGATTGCCTTCATTGATAAGGTTAAGGATAATACAGAGAGATTTTACAAGTATAATGATAGCAAAAAAGCAACTAGAGAGAGAAAGTAGAGCCCCTTAAAGATCAACAATGTTGTCTTTGTGTTGAACTTTAGAAGATGGGAGAGATAGTAAATGAATATTTTGCACCATTTTTTACTGTGAAGAAAGAAATGGAGGCTAGAGAACTTAATAAAATAAATGTTGATATTTTGAAAACAGTTCACATTATAGAAAAGGTCTTAGAAAATGTAACATGGATAAATCTCCAGGACCTTGTCAAGTGTATCCCAGGATACTGGAGGGAATTACAGGCCCCTAGCAAAAATATTTGTATCATCCATAACTATGGTGAGGTGCTGAAGGACTGGAGGATGGCAAATGTTGTGCCTTTATTTAAGAAAGGAGAAGCCTGGGAACTATAGACCTGTGAGTCTGACATTGGAGTTTGGTAATTGATGGAGGTGATTCTCAAAGATAGGATTTACATATATTTGGAGAAGCAAGAAAGATTAGGGATTGTCAGCATGGTTTTGTGTGAAGGAAATCATGTCTCACAAACTTGTTTGCGTTTTTTGAGGAAGTAACCAAAAAGATTGATGAAGATTGTTTACTTGGACTTTAGTAAAGCCTTCGATATGGTTCTGCATGGTAGACTAATTAGTAAAGTTAGATCACATGGGATTCATTGGGAGCTTGCTAATTGGATAGAAAATTGGCTTTATGGTAGCAGACAGAGGAATTGAATTAGCTTTATTGTCACATGTACTCACATGAGTACAGTGAAAAGTTTACAAGTTGTGACTTACAGTGCCATCTTAGGTACAAAGATACCGAGGTACAGAATCTTGGTACAAAGCACAAAAATAAAGGAAATATAATTTAAAAAGAAATCTGCCATTCCTTGGCCCACTAGCCGAAATGATCAAGACCCCTTTGTACTCCTAGATAACCATCTCTACTGTCTACTTTATAACCAATTTTGGTGTCATCCATAAATTCACTATCTATGCCTCCTACATTCTCATCCAAACTGTTTAGATAAATGACAAACATACGACAAACATGATCCCCAACCCCTTTGATTCCCAGACAAAACCAAAAGCTCTTCCACCCCTCCAGCCTTGAACGAAACCAAAGACAGAACATCCACAGCCCTCTGGGATAGAGAATTTCAATGAATCACAAACCTATCGGTGAAGAAATTTATCCTCATTTAATTCTGAAATGATCAATCTGTTGTCCTGAGCCTGAATCGCCATGTTCTAGGTTCCTGGCCAAGAGACAAATAAAGCCTCCTGCGACAGTTGTCTGGAACCTAATGTTGCACCAAGTGTATCTTCTATAACTGGGCTTGCCATGAGCCAGACTGGGCAGAGTCTTTCTCCACGAGGCTGCCCTGTAATTGACGCCCTCCGTTCATGCCCAAAGAAGGATGGTGGGCAGATCGACTCCTGATTCTGCAGGCTCAATGTTGGTAGTCTATGAACCTCAGCAGCCCCACTGGGAGAGATAGGCACTGTTGAGGCACCTTGCGGAACATACGGGTACATTCGAAGGTGTAAAAAACTGAAACAACTTACAGGCGGAGTTGGCAGGAGGGTCTCTCAGTTTTCAGGGGTAAAACCATCCAGATGGAGTATTGTGGCCAGGGATGATGGCTTTCTCATCTGTATTTGTGGAACGGAGCTGCTCTTACTTTATTTTTTAAAGTTTTCATTTATAGGACTTGGGCATTGCTGGCTGGGTCAGCATTTATTGTTCCACCCTCAGTTGCCCATGAGAAAGTGGTGGTGAATTATCATCCCGCTTTGCCCCATAATCCTCTGGTTGCCACAGTGAGGCCATTTCCATTGGGCAGGAAGCCTTCCCATATGCTGGGGTCTGTGCCACTGCTGGCAAAATCATCCCTAATTAAGGTCTAATGTATTTAAATTAAATTTGATTTAAAGATTTTTAAATTACTCCAGGAATATTTTGCTACTTACAGGAGTCAGACCTGTGTTAATTGTCCCTTTTTTGTTCCTAGAAATTTGAGTTTCACATCAGCAGTATAAGCCACCACATTAACAGGATACATACTATATAAAATATAAACACTAGCATTCTGCAGAGAACTGCATTGATATTTGCAGTGCAAGTGCATTAATTTCTTGACACTCAAAAGGAGGTTGACAATGACTTCCCATTTTACATGTGACAAAACATAAGACTAAGGAGCAGGAAAATGCCATTCAGTTGATGGCATCCAGTAATTTGGAACAATTTACTGTTTCTCTTCCTTGCCACAAATTGAATTTTTTTAACACTAATACAGATATTATGGATTTGTAATTATTTTTGCAACAAATTTTGGATTGTCATATTGAGCTATTTTACATTTTAGAAGTTCTTTTTAAAGCAGAGGACAAATCAAGCAAGTTTCCTTTATCAGATCTGTTTAAGTAGAAACATTGGGAAAGCAGTGAAAGGGTTGGCACCTTCATTTGTTGGGTGGAACAAGAGTCCTTCCTCGGTTCAAGATCCAGGAGTTATTTTCCCAAAGGAGGAATCTACTAATATTTAGTATTTATTAGTGATATTTTGTTACATTTTTACCATATATCATTTTTACTTCAATGGTTTCTTTGTGTAAGTTTTGTAAAACAAGTAAGGTGTGTTTGCTTTTGAATAATAAACAATAATACTGCTACCAACAGTCTCGACATCTCCAACTTTCCGTCTTCCTGTCCAGGACAGACAAGCTAGGCAGTGAACAAGTTTTCAGTTTTGGCTGTGAAGTGTCAATCATTTCATGTGTTGTAAGGATCACAGAAATTGAAATGAAACATGACGGTAACTGCTATGTAGTGTATTCTGAAATTAAACACTATCTTACAATGCAAGTGCTTTCAGTTGTTTTGTGCCATTCATTAATTCACAGTTCACATTTCTCTTTTCACTGCTTTACCTTTGGCTGTTACTTCAATATTTGAACTACACTTTACT